ATTTTATTTTTTGCATAACTATTGGTAAAAAGATTGACTGAATAAGATAAAGACGTTAAAAAGATTAATTTCATTATCTGTAAAGTCAAATCACAATATGCAAAATATTGATTACATTGTATAAGTTTATGCATATACTGAAATTAGCTCCATAATTAGGTTTAATGAATTGTATTATATCTATTTGAAAATCAATGCTTATAAAGACTGAAATGAAAAATAGCCTGAAAATATAAAAAAGAAAGATATCCATTAATCTGCGCCAAAAAAAATTATGACTTGTTATAAACTAACAAATTAAATTGGGTTCTAATAAAATAATCGATTGTTTAATTGTCATGTCTTGATTATATATAGAACAGGTAAATTATCTATGGTTTCTATAAAAATAATCAAAAATAGGTAAAGGCATTTATTATGAAAAATTAGATGTAAATGAAAAATATATGCAGAAAATAAAATTTGGCTATAAAATTAGTTTTATTTTTAAATTATGGCACCAAAATTGAGATAATAAGTTGAGTTTAGCAATTTGTATGATTCTATCTTTGTTGGTCATTTATAAATCAAAGGTTGATTTTTTTTTTTTTGTAAATTTATTATTGGTTTAAATTTTGACTAGTGTTCAAATTTCATGAAAACTAATTAAAATTAAATTGATGTATGTGAATAATTATTAAGATATGGTGTTTCATGGATTAATTAATAATTATTAAGATATGGCGTTTAATAGATTAATTGTTGGATAATAAATCAAATAATTGTTATTATCATAAACATGAGCAGTTTGACATATATTTTTCTTGTTAGGTGTATTACACTAAAATTGATTTTACAAAATAAAATTTTATTGTGAACAATCATAAAGTAAAAATCATAAATAGCCATTAAAGAGTTAATCAATAGTTATGTAAAAGCATTATTGCTTTTTGTAAATGAGATGCTGATTAAAAGAAAAGGCATGTCATTAAAAATATATTGAAGTATTTGTCAGTTACTAGCATTAGCATTTTGATGGATGTTCATCAATGCCTAATTAGCCAAGTTTATAAATTAGAAAAGAACATGCAAATTCAATGTTCCAAATGCACCAATACATGCATGTATTTAATTTCATTTTGTGATGGCATGAAGAACATTGGTACAATTTACCATATATTACAAAAATGAATTGAATGGGATGAAATTTTTTTATATACATATAAGAAAGATATGAACTATAGAGATATAATGTTATCATCCAATTAATACATTATTGGTTAAAGACAATGAAGCTATTTTTACTTATTGTACTTGGAAAATGACCTTTTGTAGGCTGTTAAAATAAAAAGTGGACAAGTTTTCAAAGTTTTCAATAGTTTTATGACAATGGCAAGGATGTGATTAGTTATACACCATACGTATAAGCTTAGACAATAATATTAGTTTGTGAAAGCTATAAGCCTTGGAATTAGCCAATCAATAATTTAACCAATGCAAAATCATCATGAATTTTTGCATAAAATATGAGTTAAACTCATATTATAATTATTGTTTATACTAATTTATGAAAATGATTCTTTGGATTCATGTTTCATCACTTACGTTAATATGGTGATCTAGATATGAACATATTGATCACAAAAAAATTATGAAGGTATTTAAAATTAGAGTTAAAATATACTATAGACTTTTATTGTACATAGGCATATTGGTCCTATGAGTAAAGTCCGAATTTATTATATATTCGAAAATGTTATGACCAATTAAAAGTGGTAAATAACAAAGATATATAAGCTGCATAATGGTAGAGAAATAAAGTTCTCATAAAATGTTGAAATCAAGTTTAGAGGTTTCAATAGTCATGAACTTGAAATTAGCCATTAGGCAATTAATATATGCATTAGAAACTCATGATAACATTTGAGATAGTTAGTTTTCACTAAAAGCCATCACTATAAATAAGATAACTTCAATAGTCAAATCTATATGATTTGTAGGTATGATGTGAATTATTATGGTTAGCTTAGAATAACCATAAGCCAAAATTGATGCCACAATCTTGATCACATTGTGATAATTTTTGTTATGTATATGATTTAATTCATGGATTGTACAAATGATTTATCATCTATGGTTTTATATAGTGAAAATTTCAAAGCACATTTACTTTGAAATCTATGAGTGAATAAAAGATCTTGTCAATATGAAAACTTTTATAATAGCAAAAGGAATGTTATTTGATCCATTTGGGTGATGGAAAAGATTTTGTACATGGTAATATATATATAATATATATATTAATAGTATCCATGATAAAATAGACTCATATAAGTATTTATGAATTGACATAAAAGGTCTTAAAAAGAGATTGTAGAAGCATGATTATATTTGAAATATGTTTATTGATGTAAACTCTTATATTTAGTTAAAATATAAAAGTTTTGTAACTTTTATGAAAAAAATTAAGATATAGAATATTTGTTAGTTATCTTTTACTAAGGGTGAATTTGGAGACCTCCTATTTAAAAAAAAAAAAACCACCAAGTAGTGAAAAGATAAATAAAATGTTAACTTAATTAAGCATATATGATATCTTGATAATTGAATAAGACATTTTTTAATAAAAGAATGCATACTTACACATGGTGGGGGTGATAAGAATCAAAAGAAATAAAAATTATCATAATAGTATTGTAAGATTTTAATATAATTTTATGAGTAAATTATACAAGCTAATAAGTTTAGATACTTATTAAAGTAAAGTCATAAAAAGCCTTTAAAAAATCTTAAAATGACTAAAATAATTTAATTTATTCATTGAATTTATTCAATTGTACTAGAAGTATAATTGTGTTAAAAATGTATAAAAGTATGAAAATAGAATGGTTGAAATTTTAAAAAATAGAGTTGTGGTTACAACCAAAACCAACTATTTCTTAAAATGAGGAGAATGAGACAACAATGTTTGGAGCATATAAATTATATGCAAAATAAAAAGTTTGGACATATTAGGCCGAAGTAATTATATTAAAGATTCAATCTCAAGTATGAATAATTAACATAAAAGAAAATTGAATTCTAAGATATTTGATTACTAGTACTACAAGTAGAATGGATTTAAACCCTTATTATTAAACACCAATAATGAGAACCCAACTTTGAATCAATAACCTCTAATTACAATGTTTAATGAGTAAAAACAAGTTATTGTTATGTGTCTGTTAAGCATTAATAAAATACATTCAAATTAGAAACTAGCGTGATCTATTGCGTGGAGAGGATGAATTTTTATACTCTTAATGGAGTTTTAAATATCTAAAGCAATGAAGACATAATGGAAACTTTACCTATATAAACATAGAAGTGGTGCTGCTTCAACAAGAAAAATTGAGATCTCTCTTGTAAATGTTTATGAATAGGATAATCATATAGTCATAATAGTGCTAAAAACGGTTATAAACATCTGATAGAAAAATAAATAAGTATTATGTGTGTTATATCTTCAATTCTAACACTAGGAGTTGAGGTTTTTCTACGAACATCATCAACTTCGTTAGAATTTTAAGATATATATGCTAATTGAAGCTTTAAATCATGAGATACCTTATTGTATTCATAATATTTATTTGTATGAAAGGTTAATGATTAAGCACCAACATTCCAAACTAGTGGAGGATTGTTGGGAGTTTAGAATGTGGTGTATTTCATATTGGATAGAAAGATTTAATTATTGATGAGTAAAGTTAATTTTTATATTAATTTTATTCAAATTTTAAATAATTATGTTTGAACAGAAATAATTATCATAAGTCAAATAGTTATAATTATTTAAATATAAATAGATTATTATTTATAAAGCTCGTGATTATATAAAATATTATAATTATTTAAATAAAAGTTTATGTCTATTCATTCATTATAAATAAATTTTCAGTATAACCATTTTCATTACTTTTAATTGAAGAGTTTGAGGATTTGTTATATTTTAAAAATATAATTGCCTTTAAAAAAGTGTTCTTCACGTCTCAAAGCCAAAATTTTTTTCTATTTTTTCTCTTCTTTTATTTATTTTTTTTAACATCAAACACATAAACTCGTTTCTACAATAGTTTGAGGCAAGGAGGATTTAAACATTGTTTTAATTACAGAGGACGCCTTAATGATTAGAGTTTGAAACCATTATTTGGAAGTTTACATGCAAGAAATTTTTTCTTTCAGCTTGTTTCCAGTTTGTTTAAATCCTAAGTATCACTATTTAGATTGCTTCAGCATTGGTCATTCATTATAAACCATCAATAATTTTCTGCAATGGCGTCATCTTCCTTTTTCTAGTTTGGTTGTAGTATTACTTTTTTAACATCATGTTTTTCACCTACTTTATTCGTTTTACTATTCCAGGAAACAAACTTTTTCACATAAATTATTAAAGGCATACCTAAAATATTAGATGATATATATATATATATATATATATATATATATTTCAGGAGTTGGCCCTACTGATTCAATTTGTTTTGCCAAGGGAATCCGAGGAAAGCTCAAATTTCAGTCCATTTCTTGAACTATGAGAGCCAGTCATGTTCTAATGAGTCATGCTTTATCAATGGTTTGTTCTTATCTTTTAGAAATTTTAGTAGAGCCATTCGAGCATATGACTGGAGAATTCTTCCAGTGCTGACTGATGTATGGCTTGAAAACTTTCTTTTTTATTAGCACCTAGGAAGAGGACACCTTGATGACCATTCAGAAAAGGGGGAAAAAAAAAGAAATTTAAAAATACAGACAAGGAGATAATTAACTCGCCAAAAACTTGCCAAGTTGAAGGTCAAAGGAATATGAGAAAGAAAGAGTGTTATGCTCACACAACAGGAATTAAATTTATGCTTTTGTCCTTTACACATTTGAAAAGAGGTAGGAATCAAGTAACAGGCGACGGTTTTGATCACAAATGAAGCATGAAATTTCATACATAATATGCAGAGAAGGCTATGGCAGATATCAAGCATATATTCAAGCTTTCTAACAGCTGGAAATTGTAAACCTGAACACCAATCGCCATCACAGTTATTAACTGACAGATCATCCTAAGAGGATAGATTAATTTGATAGGAATTTCTTCCCAGCTATAGCCTTTAATCAACAGGCTACTAGAAAAACTTAAAATGGTAGTTTCGAGTGAGTAGTCTCATGATTCATTCATAGAAGCTAGCTAGTCCCAATTATTTGCATGATTAATCTCTCCAGGAGAGCAATATTCAGAACTTTCACTAGCTATTCTGTTTTCAATCTTCGACTTTTGATGGTCCATGTAGTGCTGGTAAACGTAAGAAATGAAGCCCCAAATAGCCAGCACCATGGACACTCCCTTTATCCCGTCCATTTTGTCATGGAAAACAAAGACAGCAATTACTGGAACAATAGGCAAACCAACTGTACTAATGGCAATGCTGTACAGGGAAGACACCTCGAAAACTAATCCTACAGTACCAATAGCAAAAACCTGCCAACATATAGCAGTCCAAAGCAAAGTCATGACATAGGAAACCTTCCCCAGTGCATATTCATCCATTTCTCTCTTTAATCCCTTCCAATCTCCGCTAACAAATAATCCCACCAGTATAGCGCTGGATGCAACCAGTGATGAAAATAATATAACTTCAAGGAGAACTTTAAGTGTTTGCCTCTTTAGTACCTTTCGAAAGGCGAGCTGCTGTGAAGCAAGCAACAATCCGTACACCGCAGCTCCGCAAATGGTGCATATGAACCCGGCCGCATACTCTCCTTTAGACACTCCAGCAGGCTTTTCGGAGTGATTATTTACTACCAGGAGAACAGAGGAAATGGTGAGGAGAACTAGAGAATTGATGATAAATGGAGTGAACTTTTGTGAATTAAGGAAATAAGAGAAGAAAGCATTAAAGGCCAACTGGGATGCTATAATGAGAGTAACTGTAGATACAGGAAGGTACTCTAAGCCAACTGAATAGAGAAAGCAGCTTCCAGCTGAAAGTAAACCAAGGGGTACATAGACCAATTTTAACAGCTTCAGGAAAGATGGTGGATTAGTGTCGATAATTTTATTTGAAGTCGGAGTTTTGAATAGAAGAATGCAGTATAAAGGAACTAGAACTGGGAAGCCTCCAAGTTGGGCAAGTGTTGCCACCCATTTGCTACTTCCACCTTTCTCAAAGTAAAGTCTTCCGAGAATTGTAGCCACCGACTGGCCGCTGAGGAGCAAGATTGTATAAAGAACTAACCGAAGCCACCGTTTGAAGTTCCAAGATCGAGATCCTCTTATGTGGTTGATACCATTCGTTTGCTCGGCTGAATTTTCTTTGGTTTTAGCTTCTTCATCTGGAAAATGTAAAACGATTATTTAATTCCAAATCTGATCAGTCAAGAAGAAACAATGAATGATATTCAATGTCTGCAATTACACCACTCTCTGATCAGTTTCACATTTTTGTTCGGTGGAGTGCAGAGAAACATACATGTCAATATTGACTTTTTGTCATGCTTCAAAGATGATTGCGGACATTGAATAATATACATACTATGCTAGCTCACCTGCGCTTTCGAGTTGCAACTGAACTTCCGCCATGTCTAGTTGGCCAAGCTAAATCAGGATTAGTGCTGAAAATTCAAGCCAAGGATACAAAGATCAGAGAATCTTTTGGAATCAAATTAAAATTAAGCTCTAGCCTATGAATTTAAATACTGGGCTAGTTCTGCTCTTTCCTTTTTTTTTTTCCTAATAAAAAAGTAATATCATAACTTGAACCCATCCCATCTTTGTCTCGTAAGCTAAGCATTTAACTTTACCAAATAAAAAAAAAATAAATAACTATTTTTAAGTTAACCTTTCCATATATATTTATGGATAAGCTATGGTGTCTCTTAGAATTATTAATCTGTTTTCTCTAAACTTATGCATTGTATAGCTTCGAGTAGATGATAATAATCTTATGTGAGTTAATGTCTATAAAAATGGATAAAAGTGATAATATTTTTTATGGTTGGATTTGAGGACTTGTGGAAAGGTTTGACTTTTGGGATCAATATCAAACTTTCTTAAAACCTTATTTTATAATATATATATATATATATATATATATATATATATATACACCTTAAGGGTAGGTGAGGCGTATCAATTCTTGCAAGTTAAAATGTAACACTAACACTCACTGTTTCATTTTAGTCAACTAATTATTGTGCAAATTGATGGGCTACCTATATGAAGCAATTTTTTTAGACTTTTATGCATTTTCAAAACCCTCACCAGTTAATTACTCAAATTTTTAATAAATGATATTCAATAAGTAAGAATCAAATTCTAATACTTATAATTTTTTTTAGGACGTGGTTTTTTATGCAAAAAAAAAAAAAAACATTCACTTGTAAAATATTTATGTATGGCAAGTTATAATTATATACAAAGATTTTTAAGCACATAATTATTATGTTTATAAACAGCATTTCGAGACAGAAACTTTTACTCATTTTCCATATGTTTTTCTCAAGAACCCATCACTTTTTTCATATTTATAATTCATATTTTTTAGGTTTTGGGAAAAAAAAATCTGAATATAGATGGATGGATGAATCATATTATGATAATATTGTTTTATGTACCCTTTTTTTTTAAAAATTATATCTCCTATATTTACAGTTCCAAGCCGATCATCGGTCTACAAAAGAAAATTTTTTTTTTGAGGAATCTCTTCATATATAGAAATATAATATATGATTAGGTAAATGGAACTATCAAAAATATTTTTTTTCCAAAAAATAATACGATGACATGTTTTTCTCTTTTTAATTCATCAATTGTTGATCAATAAGATTTTCGGCCCTAAGATTGAAATTTAATTTTTTTTATAATATATTTTTTTAATGAGATTATTTTTAATTCATCAATTATTGATCAATAAGATTCTTGACCCTAAGATTAAATTTTAAATTTTTTAATAATGTGTTTTTTTTATAAAAAATTAAGTGAAGTTTCTATTAATCAAATACGTAATCCCTCATCATCCATTACTTCATGTAAAGCCTACTCACTCCGTTCAATTAGTCTAACAAGAAGGACAATGGCTTAAGTTGCAAATATTGTTAGTTTATGAGCATGGATGACATGATGGAGTAGGCAAGAGAAATTAGGTAAGCATTTAAAAAATGAAAAGGGAATTAGATAATCATATTAAAATAAGTATTTTTGATTGATGTGATGAAGAAAACATTAAATATAAAATCCATAAATGAGATGTAAGTGTGGAATTCGGTTTTCTGAATTTATCATTGAATCAGCATGCAAGACGAAAATATTAAATGTGTTTGGAGTTTAGTTAGGTGGAATCTAAAACTTTATTTTATTATTAAAATTTATTTGTATTTAATTTTTATTTTAATATATATTTTAAAATATTAATATTTTTAATATAAATCTACACCTGATGGATTGGGCTGAATCTTAGGCAACCCCTTTGAAAAATCAATCGGCCCGACCATAGCAGATTTAATTGGATGAAACGTACAGATATCAACTTGGGATGCGTCGGTAAGGATGAGAGCCGAAAAGGTTAGCCTAAAGAAGACAATAGATATGCCAATTTTCTTAATTCTTCTTCGTGCCATAGAGACGAAGGTTGTTGTGCGAAGAAGGATTCTTCGTAACGGATGCAATTTAATAATTTTAACATATATTTATTTTTTTACTTCTTCTCGCCAGATTCATTAATCTATTCATTTTCAATAATTATTTTTATATTAAAATAATAATTATTTTATTCAAAATAAAATTTTAAAAAAGTAAAAAAAAAAGATGAAAGTAACATATTTAGATTCTATCGTTTCAATGGCAAAAAATAAATAATTAAATAAATAAAAGCAAAGATTTTTTGGGAAAAAGGGTTTGCGGAGAGAATAAAAAATCCCACCGAACCTCTTTTTCTCCGTAGGATACTATGCAAATCTTTTGCACAGCACCGACCACTTTAAGGCATGACATCCAAAATCTCACCGAACCCCTTTCCGTCTCCCTCCGATGGGATTTTCCACCCACGATGCAAATTTTTTACATCAATCACATTGTGATATGACATCCAAATGCCTTGTGGCGTTCCAATGGCACAAATTTTGAGATTAATCTCGTAGGTAAGTGACATCCAAATGCACCTTTAATTTCTATGAGATAGTAAGTATTTTTTTGTATTTTATTTAAATAAATATTTTTAATAAGAATTAAAAAACTTTACCATGCAATAAATATTTATGAAAATTTGTGCTTATAGAATCTCTGCATTAGAAAATTTTGTAAAATTATCAAATAAATCATTAATCCATTTAAACAAAAAAATTATTGTATAAAAAAATATTGAAGTAAATTATTATAATAAAAGATTGTTTTCATAAAAATCATATTATCAGTTTGACATTATATCAAGAAAGTTCTAAGTTTTAAATATTGATTAGAATACTTTGATTTTATGTTTAAATTATGGGCTACTTATATTCAGTATTATCTTGATACGAACAATCGATTTTCGTCTGTTTAATTTTTCATATTATTTTCACTCAATTCTATTCATCTATTTATTCTCAATTATCAATTTTAATTCTTTTTAATCATTTTTAACAAAAAAACCATAAAAAATTCATTTAAAAAACTTGATTTAAATCTTTCCCTTAATTAAAAAAGTCAATAAGGATATTGTCATTTTTTTGGCTACAAGGATATTGCTAATTGCATTTATGCATTTGGTTCTTTGTAATTAAATGGTGTATTATCCAAAATTTAAAGAATAAGATTCAAATTCTCAATTTCTCGAATTAAAGTAAAAAGTTGCTAATTTATAGTACCATGTATTTTTTTTCTTTAATTTGGGGGAGGGGATAAAGATAATTAATTAATATGTTATTTATAACAAGGTAAAAACTATAATTTAAAAAAAAATTAAAACTTCCCATGAAAGATCTTATAATATTCACATAAAACACAAACCAAAAAATAAAAAAGAAATAACATCATAATAAGACAGTTAGAATATAAAATTAATAAAAATAAAAATAATTATGTCACGTGTTAATACAAAAAGAAGTGTTAAGAATTAATGAACCGTTTACTTTCTAGAATTTCTCATTGATAATTGAAAATTTATTGTTGTTAGTGTCTGAAATTGAGCTTGGAAAATCGGCTAGTCAGCGGTCCTTGTGATAATTCTACGTATGACTGCTTCATTGTTTTTTTATTTTTTATAAGCCCTCCATTTTTCTCCAATATTGAAAAATCTTATATTTTTGTAATTGCTACTAGCTTTGTGTAAAGTACTTTCACATTCTGAAAATTGCAATTATTGTTTTTAACTTATATATATATATATATGTCACGGACTAATATCAAGTACCAGTTTTTTTTCATAAAAGAAAAAAATTTTGAATATCAATGCGGCCTTTTCGTGAATTTTTGTTTGTGATTTTTTTTATTTAAATGCGATTTGATTCGAATTAAAAATATTTTGAATTATTTTAATTTTTTTTAACTTAAATAATTTTATTTGTTTATCATTTTACTTTAGTGTTGGTTTGACATGAATATTTTAAAAAATAAATAAATAATCCAAACAACATAGTTTATGCATGAATAGAGGAATTTGGCTAATGAAAATTCTGTCATTGGAAAATAACTGTAAAATACATGCTTGCTGGGTCATAATTAAGTAACCAGCAGTGTTTCTTGGAAACAACAACCAAACTTTTCCAGTCATAATTAAGTAACCAGCAGTGTTTCTTGAAAACAACAACTAAACTTTTGCAGTCGTCTTAGACTTGCGATCATCGAGATAATGCTGGTAAACATAGGAAACAAAGCCCCAAATAGCCAACAACATGGAAATCACTTTGATGCCAGTCATTTGATCGTGGAAAAATACCATTGCCAAGACTGGAACAGTGGGTATTCCAAGAGTGCTGATGACGTTGGAGAAAACTGAAGAGACTTCGAAGATCAACCCCACCGAACCAATCGAGAAAACTTGCCAAGCTATAGCAATCCAAACCAAGATATTCACGTACGATACCTTGCCTAGTTTAAACCCTTCCATTTCTGCACCCACACTTTTCCAATCCCCGCTAGCGAAAAATCCCACGAGGATTACCAAAGTTGCAACCAGTGACGGAAAGATTATCATCTCTAAGACAACCTTGAACGTTTGCTTCTTCAGAATCCTTTGGAAACAGAGTTGTGATAGGGAAAGGTTTAGCCCGTACCCGGCTGAAGCAGCAATTGTACATACAAATCCGATCACATACTTTCCTTTAGAAGCTGCCGTGGATCCTGACGAATTGTTTTGGAACACAAGAAGAGTAGAAGAGATTGTGAGGAGGACAAGGGAGTTGATTATGAAAGGAGTGAACTTCTCGGAATTGAGGAAGAAGGAAAAGCAGGCATTGAAGGCTAACTGGGAAGCACAAATGAGGGTATAAGTGGAGACAGGAAGGTATAAAAGCCCAACTGAAAACAACAGAGAAGATGCTGCCACAAGTACTCCAAGTGTAATATACATAGCTAAAAGGACTAAAAGAGATGGTGGGTTTATCATGTTGCTGCAACTAGTGTTTTGTGTTGAAGTTTTATATGATGAAAGGTAATACAAGGGAATGAGAACTGGGAAGCCTGCAGGTTGAACTAAGGTTGCCATCCACTTGCTTTTTCCTCCTTTGTCATAGTACAGTCTTCCAAGAAGTGTAGCCGCTGACTGGCCGGCAAGGACAATGAATGCGTAAAATGCCATTAGGAGCCACCACTTATAGCTTCTCTTTCGAGCTGTGACTCCCGAGTGGCTGCCGCCCTTTGTTTGCTCAACCGAATTTGCCTCTTTGTCTTCATGACCTGGTAAAAAAAAATACATGCATGTGTTCATTTCCTGCAGCTAATAGGCTTATATATGAGAATTCACATCCCAATAAACTGATTCTTGAATGAAAATGATGAGTACTTTTCTTGAATATAATTCCTGCAGGTAAAAGCTTTTCAAGTTGGGAGCAGTGGAAAACACAAACAAAACATATGTTTCCAAGCGTGATCATCAATACATATTGATCGATAATTCCAATCTGAAGCTGCATTGACTTCAGCATTCAGGAGGGTGCTTCAATTGCACCGTCTTAATTGTCAAAAGAAGAAACAGAAACGAGAAAGGGTAAAGAGTTAGGAAAATGGAAAGAAATTAGAAGCTTCTACACGTATATAGTACAATTGGATATGCATCAAAACTTTCACCTCATAAAACACCAAACATCAAGGTTTGACAATCTAAAAAATAAAAGAAAACTTTCAGAATTGTTTGTTTCTTCCTTGATGGTTTAATTATTTGGATATGAAGAAGAGAGAGGTGGCTTACCCATGATCTGGAGTTGAATTTCTGGAGCTTCCTCCATGTCAAAGTTCTGAGTACTTCAGAAACCAAAACGCAGGCGATGAAATAGAGGACGTAAAGCATACAAGGCAGACTATAAAGCCAAGCACGTGGCTTCATCGGCTGTGAAGGACCATATTAAATGTCTGGCAACTGGCTGTGCTGGAGTAGTGTAGGGTAGTCCACGCTTTATTTACAGTCCCAGCTCTCTTCAAGGTCCAATGTCATTGAATTTAATTTTTTTTTTTTTTTTACACCATCCATGGTACTCAAGACAAAAAAAAAACCACGCTAAAGAAAAACATTAACTCAACTTGCTTTGTTCTTTTCTCATAGGATTTTCGCAGCTTTAAGGACGGCAAAATATGTATAGTTCTTTCTCCTTTATTGATTTTTTAGTCAAACAAATTTAATTTTTAATAAAATTATAAAATTAGTAAATTTGGAATTTCAAATTCAACTTAACATTTTAATAAATAATAAACAAAATTGTGCTTACATTTTAAAAATGTGATTAAGAAATCTGTGCAAAAATCCATTCCCAAGAAAGTTGACAATAAACTTATTATTGTAGGTTTTGCCATTTAATTATGATAATTAAATATCAAAGTTTCCTTTTATAAAAATGGGACGTGAAGAAATGTTGGAATTCCAATTAACTTCATTATTGTTTATGGCAAAAGTCACGGAAACTGTCAGGGTTTGTTCGAAATATATTATTGGCATGAAGAGAAACGTTAGGGGAACCTAATTTGCCTTTTCCAAATGAACCCCAGAGAAGAAATTCATACCACTTTCTGACATTGCACGGCAAACCATATGCAACCACCAAACGTGCCCTTTCTTTTAGTGTTTGTGGCCAATTCTGTCCCAAGCCAGTATCGGCTAGTTTTGATACATTGATCTTTCATTAAAAGCAACATTTTTTTTATTCCATTTGGCATTGAGCCGTGATGAAATTTATGTTTTGAATGAGTCAAGCTACTCAGTGAATTATTTGAATTTGATTCAATATATTAGAACTCAACTTGCATATTATCAAATAGAGTATGAGTTCAAATTATCTGGATATCTTTTGCTAAAAAAAAACATATCTATGGTGATTATTCTGGCATTACTATGCTTTAATAATTTTTTTTGTAAAAAAAAATCAAAGAGTAAAAACAATTACCTTATTTTAAAAATCAAGATAAATTATCAATTCACAAAAAATTTATAAATTTTTAAAAATTTTTCAAACTTACAAATCATCTTTCAATAATGGAACTTCAAACTTGAATAATTTACATACAGATTCTAAACTTTAAGTAGTTAACATCTTATTGTTACCTGTTCTTACTTTTTATTTGTTGTTTTCCTAACAGCTTTCTTTCTGTACTGACTTTTCACACATTAAATTTTGTGGGTTCTAAGCAAAATTTTTCATTCATCCATTTAATTCAATGAAATTTATAGATACCAAGGAGGGACCCTCCCATTTATTTTGAGGACCAAATCAGTTGAAGGTTTCCATCGATCTAATCTGTTAAAACAAATAAAACAGGTCAAAAGGTCAAATTTAAAATTTAATTTAATTGATTTATATAATTAATAAATATAATGTTTAAATTTTAATATTTATAATCGATTTTTTTATTTTTTAAATAAAAATAATTTAATTATTAATATATATATATATATATATATATATATATATATACTTCATAAAAGATTGCATAATTTTCATTTTGCAAGTAAATGCAAGCCAAGGTATACCTTTTAGAAAACACTTTGGCCTCTAAAAAAAAAGTAGTACAAATTTTTTCTCAAATTTGGCTATAAGCACAAAAAACATGTTTCATGCCTAGAATGAAAATAGAATAAGAATATTCCCATTTAACTATCAATTACCAAAGATAATTACATTACAACCCTTGAGGTGGACCTGTCAACAATTAACGTTCTTAAAATTTGGCATCTTTCAATCCCTTTCTACTTCGTATTAATAGATTAATACAGTGATTTAATTAGTCGACTAACCTTCAAAATTTCTCACTTTAAAAAAAATTTTCATCAAGTTTAATTGATTTTTTTTTTCATTTTATTTTGAAGAAATGCTTCAAAGAGATGAATTCAATAATTTAAGATTTAAATCTTAATAAAAAATTATGCTTTTGATGAAAACAAGTAAATATTACCTTATTAATTAGCTTATGACTAGGGAAGTTTCGTAATAAGAAAAATAGCATTAGCATTGGATCTCGAATTTGTTTGGTGCCGGGATAACACATACTTATGTCACATGAATCTACATTTTCTTCAATGAATAATCGAAAAAATGACGACGGAAACAGTATATGGCAGTTACTAATATTACAACAAATCGTAAGAGAAAAGAAAAAGGAAAGAACGAAAGAAGATTTCCTTCATGTCAGTTGTCTGCCCCCCAATCATACTCCAAGGCAAAGCCAAGATTTGTGGTTTCAGCTCAAAGGACAAAAATATGGGCATTTTTCACTCAAAATCGTTGGAAACATTTGATTCAGAAGCTAGATGCGTAGACATCTTCCAAGTTGTTTGTTTTCTCGTATGTCCGATGTAAAAGCTCTGTCTAACCCCTCTGAGACATGCTTTCTCAGGCCTGTAATTATGGAGTTGACATGCAGGTTAAGAACATAACAAATTCTGATCAACTGTAGTTTGGAAGAGAATATGGTATGTAAAAAACAAAGAAAAAAAAAAAGCAGCCCATGCATCGTTTATAAATCAAAGAACTCATTAATGCTTCATTGGAATTAGGAGCTTACAGCTGAACGAGGAATCTGAAGAAGAACGAGGGAGGTGCAGTACAAACACAGTGAAATAGCTACTCCAGCAATGAAATTATATAGCAGCTGTCGGTTGTCTTTGGCGGGTATGAAAACTGACTTGAGTGTATTTGTTAATTCAAACAGGCGATGAGATATCTGCAGAAGCAAGGCAATGGATGGCAGGAAAATGAACAAAACGAATAAAATTAAAACTGTCGGCAAAATATGGAAGAATGGAGAAAAGTTGCTTACCAAGATATAAATGCCAGTTGCGAGCATAAAGTTGAGCAGTGGATATTCTGGGATGAAAGAAAGAAGCCACTTAGGTTGTCCGTTAGGCATGTCTGACCTGCATGCATGAAATGCAATTATGAGAATCTTAAAGACATGTAAATTTGTTACTCGCCCGCTGCTTTGGTGATTTGTCCAATTATCATGCTTTTAATAGGACGCAGATGCAGAACTGGATAAAAAGGTTAACTTATTTAACTCCCAGGCTATTCTTTAAATATCAGTTTGAGGATCAAATTAAAAAGAGAAAACTTTAATTGGTATACAAACCTCAACCAGATATGAAATTGAGAAATGTAAGTCTCCAGAGTTATCTTTCCAAGCCACCTATGGAGCACAAAAAATGTAACATAATTAGAGTAAGTGCAAAATAACACCAGAAACTCCTCAAAAAGCAGATCAATGATTCATATTCCGGTAAGGAAGGCACAGATTGAATAAATTAGTTATAGTCCAAAACATACACAAAGAGAGTCAAAGAGTAACTCCGAAGCTGCTGAGTAAAATTCCGCAAGCAAATGTAGACACTAGAATCACAAGAAAGCAGAGATAATAATCAGATATGGGAAATTGAACTAAAGTGATTTAATTGTACAAGATATTCCATGTGTCATCACATAAACTTCCTCAAGTGTGCCAAGTGAATTAGAAAAAGAAATCCTAATACGCACGTTATGGGAATCCAAGATGTGTAGGGATGGTATTTGTTGTAAGTAACCTTGTCCAGCTTGTAAATACATTCATACCACATATAGCCAACCTGAAGAATTTAAGAACATACAAAAAAGTGTTCATCAAAAACAAATAAGCATAATAGTAATATGGTGAATAAAAGATCAGGCAACTTACAAATAAAGAAAATGCAACAACGCTTGCTTTGATTGAGAATTTTCTCTTTGTTTCACATTCCTCCAAATTTTCCATCCATTTCTCAACCTAAGATTTAAAATATTTTTTTAAAAAATAGTTACTTGTGAACCAAGAGAACAAGACTTCCCAGTGACTAAAAAATTTAACAAACTTACATTGGGATGATAGTAGGCATATATCATTCCAATTATCCATATATAGCGATCGAGACCAGATCTAAAATGCCACTCATGTAGTCGAGAGAGATCAGGTTTTGCAGGATCAGTGTACCCTATCATATTCAAGTGATATAAGCAAACAGCTATAACATATCCAATCCAAGAAGAATGAACTTGCTTTAAATTTAATATTAAAAAATGAAATTCAACTGGATTCATTCACATGTGAGGTACACATATTTGAAAGCAATACATTCCAACTTAAAATGCAATAAAAAATATTTAGAAGCATATTAAGGGAGCTGAATATAAGGACAGGAACTTTCTAAGCAGTAAATCACTGGTAAGTTGATAAATCAAAAGAAAAGTAGAAGAAAGAAGTTAGGTAGGTTGCTGACCTAATAGGAAAGTTAATGGACTCCAGAATATTTCAAAAACTCCAGGAATTTCCCAGAGAAAGATAACTATGAGAAAGCATGCAAGAATTTTCACTGCCATCACTGATGGTATCTCATTATACTTATTGAAAATCCCAAGAGCTCCATACACCATTAGTGTGAAAAGCGTATGCATTGGGCATATGTAGTAAAGCATATACTCATTGTTGAGAACAATACAGCAAAATGCTACAAAGAAGTTTAGTCGCCACATCATCTGCATCAAATTGAAGTTATACAAGGACCTCAGATATATTTGATATGTATAAAAATATTAAGAACTACATAACTTGTATGCTGATATAGCATTAGAGCCCAGAGAGAAAATATCACCTGGGCGAAACGTGCTAGGCTAAAGTCCTTTCTGATATAATAGAATGAGAAGTTTCCAAATCCAGTCATCCAAACATATGCAGCGATAAAGACACGTATTGCATTATATATCTCCATTGCAGCAAAGTAATGGTACATTAGAAATAGGACCTGTAAAAGCAAAAATGTAACGTAAGTGCAGCTAACAAAACTCCTAAAAAATATTTAGTGCACAAGAAATGGTCAATAGATAGCATGGATTCCATGGAACAGAAAACACAAGCAATCTAAAAAATCTGACAGAGATAGGAATAGCTGTGTGTGAACATCAGTGCAGATCTAAAGACTGAATACTCAAATCTACAGCATTTTCATATGATAGTTTCACAAGTTATGGGAAATATTTTCATATGATAGTTACTCCTTAACAGGTTACAAGTCTAACAGTAAATACTCACCTGCATCCATCCTCTCCATTCTTCAGTCTGATGCCTACTTAGGTATTGCATAGTTTTTCCAGAGAATGCTGATTTGTCATTATGTTTCGTCAAAGAAGTCATTGCTGAAACTATGATGAGAAGAGCGTAGAGAAAGAGGAAAAGATCACGGTTGTATTTCTGTCAAGGAATCACACATAAGAAATAATATAAAATAAATAAATAATTCCCTGTAGTGTTCATCAGCATGTGAAAAAAGAAAAAAGCACTAATCCTCAAGCTACCATCAATTTGCAAATATATAGCTACTTTAAACCATTTAAGAGGGAAAAACTTAGCCATCAAACATTTCCAACCACAAGAGAAGAAAATACTTTCAGCCTTTCGGGCAATGTACAGTACTCCTATGTATCGAACTATTAGTGAAAGGACATAGTGACCACAAACTGGTTATTACAGAAAGATTAAATATCCTCCCAAACTGGAGGACTCAAGGAAGGATGCAAGTACAAAGGGGTTGCTTCTATAAAATAACATTCACCTAAAAGGAAAATAAGGAAGAAAAACAATGAGCTCCAAGGATACTGGAATTTACTTAAAGAGTTTTTTATGAGACTAGTGAACCCAAATTAAAGCCTCTTTAAAGGGGTTGCTTCTATAAAATAACATTCACCTAAAAGGAAAATAAGGAAGAAAAACAATGAGCTCCAAGGATACTGGAATTTACTTAAAGAGTTTTTTATGAGACTAGTGAACCCAAATTAAAGCCTCTTTTGGTCATTTTGAAGGGGAAAGAAATTAAGAATGAAAAGATGGACATAGATAAAAAGAAGGCACCAACAGAACCAGAAAGCACGAAAAAATATGATTATCCATACAAATGAAAGTCAAGACCTCACTAGGAATACAGATGCAAAACTATACTTAGTAGCATTTCCAAAAAAATCACAGATCAAATCATGAAGTACAATCAATAACACAATCAAGAATTATAAAATCACCTTGGTAGATTCTCCTAGTAAATTTGTGCGGTCACATATATAGAAGTACACTAGGATAGCCCCAAACTCAGCCCTGCAATAGATTGCATTGTCAAACATTAGACGAAACAGAAAGCTATTAAAAAAGTGTATTTCTGTTTATGACTAACATTGCTCTCAAAATTGCTCGATTTTCCAGCAGGAAAGAGTCTTCCATAGTTAAGAACCTGGAAAATCATAAGATGGAAATGGTAAGATGAGTGTAAAGAGTACAATCAGGAAAACTCCATAACAACAATGAAACCTAAAGAAAGCAACCTAATCAAGTTTGTTTTGATCGATGAACTATGGAATTTAGCAGAAGCTGATCTTGCGAGACCTCCTTCAAGCAAAACAGCCCGGTCATCTTCTTTAACTGTCTCCTCTCGTAATTCAACCAGATTATTGTCTGAATGGCTGCAAATTGAAACTCAGTCGTCAGCATCAGAAAATACAACAAAATTGTGCACCCATGTTAATTCTTAGGAGAAAAGATCTCTTACACTTTAGAATGAGATGCAGATTTCTTGTATTCTAGGAACTCTGAGTATATCCATGCAATGAAAACTGGGATAACTCCTAAGAGAAAAGACACCTGCAGCATAATAAAAGGACTTCATTATATATTTAAGTCAAAACTAGTGTGTACAAGAAAACTAAATAAAAAAGAAAAGTGCAAAGAAAGATCAAATAATACATCTATAAGAACAAGTGAAATAATTAAAGTTAGAATAGTGGAGTGAAATATGCACATATAGGCTACAAGTAAAATCTCTTCACTTATCAAACCAAGCTACCCAGTTATGTACATCCAATAGCCATAAAAATTCTTATAAAAAAAAAAAAAAGAAATTTCACTAATTCAAAGTGGAAAAATGAAATCAAAACTCAGAATCCAAAATTAGTACATATAAAATTCTTGGCGTGAATCCAAAATACTTTCTAAAAAACGAAATAACAGAATCCAAAATTAGCACATAGAAATCACAAATTCAAGACTTGCAAAACTACTACAAATATTTTCAGCTCAAAAATCACATTGTTCAAATTCAATCAAATAACAAAATCTCAAAACTAAATCTAAACTTAACGAAAAACATTGAATCAATAAAATTCAAATTCAAAACCATACCTGTCCAGGCGTGATTGGCCCAGAAACCACCATTTCTTTTCTGGATCAAACAATAAACTCCTCCAACTGTAAAAATTGCAACAGCACTGAATCAAATCAATTCCAAAAAATTAAAAAAATATAAATTCAGATTAAAAAAAAAAGAAGAAAGAAAGAAAGAAATGGTTACCAAAGAAAGAGAAAAACAATGCGTAGTACAGAGAGAGATGTGTGGTGTGCTATGACATGCTCGTTTACAAAACCTCCATAAAACAACGATTTAAAATTTTTAACAACAAAGCCAAATCGAAGATTCTGAAAACAATGTAGATTAAAAGAGATTGACGGAGATAAAGAGACCTCTTAGCAGCTTGCTTGAAGAATAGAAGAAAAAAAGTTCGATATGACGTCGTTTTCACCCTCTCTCTCTCTTTCGAACGGTTGTTCTTCCCGTGATGCAGTAGTTGGGTTGCGTTTTCTGATTGCTATCTTGCTTTCAATTTTGGGCGTGTAAATGTGAACTGATCAGACAGTCAGAGATCGAGAAAAACAAATTTAAAAAAATAATAATAAAGAAAATTATTTTGAACAGACAGATGGAATGTTCAGTTATTTTAATTAAATTAATATGGTACCTTATATAATAATAATAATAATAATAATAATAATAATGTGTAATAAGTCCAAGGAATTAGGAAAGGATAAAGGATATTAATTAATTAGGATTAACTTTCTAATTTAATTATGTTGTGTACTTTCTATTTAAGCTTCTATAAAAGTATTCATCTTTTATAAGTACTACTATAATTCTTGTCATTTTAGCAAAATTTATTACAATTATAGAAAAATATAATTTTAGTGATAAATTAACTAATATTTTTCCAATTTAGAGAAATTATTTTTTCTTTTATTTTTTTATAATATAATAAGGGTATTAAAAAGTGCATACTAAGGAACCCACCCAATCTTTTTTTTTTTTTGTTGGTTGGATCAATTAAATGATTAAAATAAGTGCTTTTTTGCTTGATCAAAAATGGACAAACTGGTTAATAATTGTATTTTGTTTTAATTAAGAAATGGTATGATTGGTTATTTGATTTGGTATAATTAAGAAATGGTATGATTAGGTAATGGTATAATTGACAATCTGACAGAAGGAAAATGATGAAATAACAAAACCAGCCCCTTGGGATTCTGAAAATGATTTTCTGAACCCAATTTTTTGCTAAATTTGTAGTTAATATCAGAACTTTTGGTATCAATTTAGGGCCTAGTAAGTTTAGTTGCAGGCTGAAAATGATGGGCAGGTTCTTCCTTATGTTGACCCAATCGACAGTCTCTTAGCATCATTTTAAATTCGTCTTCAAAGTAATTTCTATATGAACTGTTTGAAAAGCTATGGAATTAAACACTTTAACATCTTGTAATTTCCAAATGAATAATCGGAAATAGTATAATGGTTTAAGGTTGTAATAAAACATTTTAGTATAAGATTAACGATCCAAATTTATCCTAATAGTTATTAATCTTAATAAATAACTTTTTTATTAAAAGATAAGAAGTTTTTAAATTTCGTTCGATTAATCCTCTCTTTTAATTGATTCAAACAGATTTATTGGCGTTAAATTTATGAAATTCATGAAAATTTATTTTTCCACAATCTCTTGAAGATTTAAATTAGAGGCAACAAAAAAAAAAAAAAGAATAAATTCTCTTATCACTTGATTCAACATCCAATGATATTAATAAAGTGATTGAAATTTAAAGTTTTAATCCCCATTAATTTCTTCTTTAACTTGCTTATATGTACAATTTATTTTTTCAAATTCTTTTCTCACTCTTTAGCATTAAAAAAAAAATGTTGATATGATCAATTGTTATATTGATTTGAAATTTTAAAGTTTATTGCTTTAATTTTTTTTCTTTTTGTATTATATCAAAATCTCTTTCAAATTTTTACCAAAAATCTAAACAGTTAGATTGATCTTATGATACAAAAAAGTTTTCATATATTGACGCTTGGTTATATTGATGGTCAAATTTCATCAATAAAAAAAATTTTTACTGATAGATTTTTAATACCGTCAGAATATACTATACTTATACCGATACTTTATTTAACCTCGATATAAATAAAATTTTTTGACGATATATGACTATCTGTCAATATAAATATGTTATATACTGATAGTTATTAATATAATCGTCGGTATAGGCTTAAAATAAAAAATTACTGGCTTACAAAAAATTGAATGAGATTATCGAAGGCGTTTTTGGCCAAAAACACATTCAATAATCCATTCAAAAAAATTTTTTATGGATTATTTACTGACGGTCAAATTCTATTTGTAAAAGAGATTTTTATTAATGAATTTTTAATATCGTCAGAATATAACATACTTATACTAACACTTTATTTAACCGTTGATATAAATAAATTTTTTCTAATGGTATATCACTATCCATCAGTATAAATATGTTATATACTGACAGTTATTAAAAAAAACTCAATATAGGCTTAAAACAAAAACAAAAAACTATTGGTTTACAAAAAATTGAATAGGATTATTGAAGGTATTTTTTGTCAAAAAAACTTTCAATAACCCATTCAATAAATTTTTGAGAAAGATTATTGAAGGTATTTTTGGTCAAAAATGCCTTCAATAATCCATATAAAAAAATTTGCATAGGATTATTGAAAACGTTTTTGGTCAGAAACGCCTTGAATAATCCCTTATAAAAAATTGAATAATTCATTAATAAAAATATTAGAACAACTCAGTAGATTAAAGCATACAGTTATTAATCATAAAGTCATAGTTTTAATCCCTTCCTCTAGTATTTTGAGAGTTTTTCAAAGGATTATTGAAGGTATTTTTTGGCTAAAAATACCTTGAATAATCCTTCAAAACGCTAAAGGGAGGGATCGAACTACGATTTTATAGTTAATAACCGTATGCTTTAATTAACTAAATTACTCCAGTGTTTTTGTAAATGAATTATTCAAGGCGTTTGAATAAATCCTATTCAATTTTTTGTAAAAGATTGTTCAAGGTATTTCTGATCAAAAACGCCTTAAATAATTTAAAAAAAAAGTATGAAATTATTCAAAGCGTTTTTGGCTAGAAAAAACTTGAATAACCTCATTTAATTTTTATGAAGGGATTATTCAAATCGTTTCAGCCCAAAAATGCTTTGAATAATCCAAAAAATAATGGCAGGGGATTATTTAAGGTGTTTTGGCCAAAAACGCTTTGAGTAATCCCTTTTAATAAAAATTGAAGGGGAATTATTCAAGGCATTTTTAGTTAAAAACGCATTGAATAACCGCATTGAAGGGATTATTCAAATCGTTTCAGCCCAAAAATGCTTTGAATAATCTAAAAAATAATGGCAGGGGATTATTTAAGGTGTTTTGGCCAAAAACGCTTTGAGTAATCCCCTTTAATAAAAATTGAAGGGGAATTATTCAAGGCATTTTTAGTTAAAAACGTATTGAATAACCCCATTGAATTTTTTGTAATGGACTATTAAAGGCATTTTTGACAAAAAATGTCTTCAATAATCCTTTCCATAAATTTTGAAAGGGATTATTGAATGTGTTTTTGGCTAAAAATATCTTGAATAGTTCCCTCAATAAATTTTTATGAGAGATTGTTGAAGGTTTTTTTTGTTAAAAACACCTTCAATAATCCCTATTGAATGTGTTTTTGACTAAAAATACCTTGAATAGTTCCATCAATAAATTTTTATGAAGGATTCTTGAAAGCATTTTTGGTCAAATGCTTTGAATAACTCTATTGAAATTATTCAAGGTATTTTTTACCAGAAGAATTATTCAAGGTATTTTTTACCAGAAGAAATTATTCAATGCATTTTTTTACCAGAAATGCTTTGAATAACTCTATTGAATTTTTTGTAAAGGATTATTCAAGGTGTTTTTGAAAAAAAAAATGTCTTCAATAATCCAAAAAAAAAAATGGTGGGCTTATGAATTTAAATATTTTTTTTTTACCTCCACCTCCCACCGACTTTACATATTTAATCTCCACCTCCTACCTCTCTCCACCTTTCATCGACTTTACAAAGTTAAACCCATTAGCACCCATTTTGTTTTAGAGCCGAATCAAAGTTAAAGCATAAAAACTATCGTCATTTCTCAAAAGTATTTTTTATTTTTTGCATTTCAATTTTGTATCATTGAGCATGCTTATTTATTTTTGTTTCTTTGACTGTATTGGATGAATCTAGGCTCAGTCTTTATCACCTCAAAAAGTAGAGAATGGCTTAAAAATGTTATTAACGACACTGTTTTTGTTAATGAAACAGTTTCAATAGAAAAAATAGATGAAAACTTTATCTATTCTACTAAGGATTGGTGATTTTTTGATAAATGTGACTATAGAACATATAGCTAGGGAAGAGTTTATCTTATTAATCTAGTAAGCAGCTTATCTTTAGGCTTTTCTGATAAAAATGTCATAGAAAAAAATCTTTCTTTCTGAAATTTTAATACCTGCTTCGCTTTTACAAGAATTTCTTAAATAAAAATCTAGCTGATCAAGAAATGAATTATATGGCTCCGGCATTGAAACAAGAGTTGCAGTAGATCGATATGCATCTGATGTGAACAATCTTCAAAACATTGTTCAAAAAATATATAAAAGATTTGAGGTTCAGCTATTATTAAAGCACCAAGAGGATTCTTTGATGCAAACTTCAAGTACCATGTTTGTAGACATTCAATCATAGATATTAATGTCTTTTTTTTTCAAATTTGGTACAATAATGTTAGTTCTTGACTTATTTTAAATTTGTGGATTATAAAACAATTTGGTTGTTGTTTTATTTCAAATGTTATTAAATATTTTTACTTTTTTATGTATTTTTATTTTATATGAAATCCTATCATATTATGATTATAAATAAATTAATATTAATAACTAAAAATATAATTCAAAAATTTTTTTATCGATGCCTTAAAATTTATACCGACGCATTTTACTATTGAAATATTTTAGGTTATATTAACAGTCTATACTGACGAGTATTAATCGTTGGTATAGGCAAAAAAAATTAAAACATATAAGTCTATACTGATGGGTGTTAACTGTCAGTAAAATGTATAATGGTTTAACACACTACAGATGCCATATCAACAGATATACATTTACTAACGGTCTTGAACCGTAGGTATATCTTTATAAGCTATTTTAACACCTTAAAAAATGTCAGTATAAGTTTATATCGACAAAGGATATATTGATGATTAAAAATTTATTATAATACATATTTTGATCGTCGGTATAGGGTTTATGATGCTATATTGACAGATTTTGATGTTTTACCAATGCTTTTTTTAGCGTTATTATATGCCAGATTTCTTGTAGTGTTATTAATTTTTATTCAAACATTTTCCTCTTATAATCTAAACATTTTATTTGGTTTATATTGATCATATACTTATAAACTCAGTTTCTTCTTTAATTTTTTTGAGTTGATATAATATATAGTTATGTGATATACATAGAGTATTATTTAATTATGATTTTAATTATAATTTATACTTGTTTATATGATTTCATATAAATGAACTAAAACAATAAGATCACTTGCACCTACCAAAACATTATTTCACAATTAGAGGAAGACTTCCAAATTAATTATTTCAAGAAACCTCTATGCTATAAATATCATGCCCAACACCTAAATCATTATCTACAATTCAAACTTATCAAGCAATTAAATTCAAATGAAATGCAATCTGTTTGCCAATTACTTGATTCATCCTCACGCTTCTTTAATTTGTTATCAAATTTGAGTTTGTTAGATGATTTGATAGCGACTTAAAAACATAGATTAGTGTCTCATTGTTTTTTCAATAATACTTAATTACTTTGATATAAATTCATACACTACTCTTATACTTTAGTTTTAAAATTAAAAAAAAAGATATTTTCACTTCAATTATTATTTTTTATTTAAAGTACCATAATTTGAATATTTATGATTGAAACTAAAACTTTAACATTTTATTAATAAACTACATGATTGTTGGACTTTTCCCTTCAATTATTGAATAGTCAAATATAAAACCTATCATTTAGCTTACCCACTTCTTAGAGGTGGATTCTTAGAACATTGAAATTGAATTACCAACATCTTAATTCTCCTTTCTCTATCCCTTAGGCCTCCATTTGTTAAAAAAAAAAAAAAGATAAGCAAAAAAGCACTTTATTTCTTAATGAACACTTAATTCTTTTACTTTGACTACATCTAACTAAGGAATTTCTTCATATATTTTCAACTCCATTAAGGGAGCAGGATTAGATAATTCAATCGTAAGTTTTTAATGGAAGCATATCACTTATAATAATTATAATATAATAAATTAATTATAATTTAGAATATATAAAATCAACCAAAATTTGATATGATATCCATAATATTTTATTAGGATTGAATAATTATAAAATTATAATAAATAAAACTGTAAGTGATATGCTAGATTCCTTTAACTCTAGAATTTGGTGATCTCATCAGGAAGACAGTCTCCCAATAATTTAGTGCAAGTCTGGACTGAAAACGTGGCTCCTACGTCTCTCCAAGTCAAATTTAACAATGACAAATTAAAAGTTAGGTATAATATAGGCACTTGCATTTATACTATGTCAAATTTTTATTACTTATATATATATATATATATGATTATAATAAAATTTTGTGGTCATTTTATAAAAATGTGAAGGAAAAATATCTGATTATTATAAGTAACTACCAAATTAAAGGAAAGTTAAGCCATGACATTTTCTTCATTTAGTTTGGAAGTATTTCACTTACAATTTTTTTATTATAATTTTATAAATTATCTAATTATAATAAAAAAATATGTAATCAATCTTATTAATTTTAAATTATAATTAATTAATTATAATACAATAATTATCGGTGATATTCACCTGTTTAGATATTCCTGCATATTCGACTAGGACTAGGATTCTGCCTTCTCTGACAGGATGACTCCTACATCTCGGATCGAGGCTTGTTTAAACGCTTTCAGCATACCTTTTTATTTTAAAAAAAATTAAAGGAAATTAATGTTTCTCGCATTCTTCACTAATAATTCCGTAAGGATGATAATAAACAAACATAAAAGCAACTTTAATCCAGTAGTAGTTTTTTTTTCCTTCAAAAACTACTATGACCCCTCACACTGATCTCCTATCAAAGAGGCATTTTCCGGTATAAATGTATGTGGCAAGACAACCGAGTTTCAAGTGCAAAGGAAAACATTTCCTACTCCAATGATCTATAGTCCTTGATGTTAGGCCTTTTTAGATCAGTAACTGAAGAATAATTCTTAGGTTGTAAAGAAGTCAGATGAAATCAATAATAAAGTAGGTAGTTACATATATATACACACGGAGTAAAAGATGTAGAAAGAGGCGACTCATGGTTCTTGCTTAAGGAACCTGGAAGGAACCATGTCCTGAAGAAGTCCATAGTCAGGAACCTGATGGTGGTGGTACTGCTGAAACGGGTTAAAGTTTTCTGCAAACATTGAACCTGCACCGGCTTGGTTATTCATGTGATGATGAGGCATAGGCATAAACAATTCTTGTGGGAAGCCTGGCCCCGCCAGTGGCGATGGCGTTAACATGGAAGGTGGGAATAGCCCTGCTGCACTTCCTCTCAGTGTCGTGGGAGGTGGGTGGTTGTGTTGGCCTTCATATGTCGTGATCACGACCGATGGATCCTGGAATGACCTCTCCACTCTTTTCTTGACCTTACACTTCTGAGTAGTGCACCTGTAGTAGCTTCTGCATTAAGAAATCACAGATCAGAAATGTTCCTTGGATTAGGAATTCTTGCAGGCTAAAAAAGATAGCAAGTGTTAACCAGGGATTAGCAAATTAAGATTAAGGAAGCTGGAAAATCTTTATGCACCACAAGTTTGTGCTTATTTTCCCAAGAAAGTCTAGTGATCATATACAGGGATTGATTAGAAGAAAAAATGTTTTTAGACTTTTATTAACTTGCAAAGCCAATTACACAAACCCATCAAGTTATTTATTACTTACAGCTTAAGTTTCATAAATTGACTTATCTTGGTAGTCAAAAGAAGGGGGCGAGAAGATGTAATGCAAGCACACAGCAAACCTTAATCAAGGTTTCAGACATGATTTTGTATGCAGTTTTCTTGATTATATAGAAGATAAGATTATTTCAACTTTTGTTTGGTTGTAAATTAAGGAAAGGGAAAAACCAACCTTGGATATGGGCTATTCTTCACAGCTTTTTGTCCATATTTTCTCCATCTATATCCATCTTCAAGATGATCAACTTCACTTTTAGTCATGAAAGCAAATCGTGGTTCTTTTTGCTTTGTCTCTCCTTTCTTTTTTGCTTTGTTCCTGTTAGATATACAATAAACACAACAGTTACACCCCCAGATGCCTATATTTGGAGTGATAGTCATGGATTAATTAGCAATATGAAGAAAAAGGAAAAAAAAAAATTAATTAGCAATATGAAGAAAAAGGAAAAAAAGAAAAAAAACTTTAGTTACCCTTTCTTAGATCTTTCCCCTCCATCTTCTGATGATTCTTTTGGTTGCCTTTCTTTCTTGCTCTTATCTGAATCTTCTTCACAACCAGCGTCGCTTGAGGAAGAAGAAATAGAAGAATTAGGAGTTGTCATAAGTTCACTTGTATTATTACCTCCTAAATCCCCTTCACCAACCTTCTGCTTCGTCGTCTGATTGCTGCCTTCGACTGAAGAAAACATTTCAGAGGATGAAGGTGACAAACCAAAGGCTTTTTCAAGTGAACCATAGTCCACGAAATTACTGTGTAAACAATCGGTGAAGCTCATGTATGAAGGATGATCAGCTGATGATGATGAAACCCTATAAATGTCGGTTTCACCAACACTTTGCTGATGATCATTGTGGACTGTTGCATGGTCGTAAAAGTCTCTAAATTCATGATCCGACATGGGAGAAAGTATACAAAACAAAAGAATATAAGAAAAGTTTAAAGGAATATAGAGGGAGAGAGAAAGCTTATATTTTTTGAGCTGGGTAAGATTTGTTTTGGCTTTTGGACTTTCAGGGTTTCAAGCCATCTCTTTTTATCTTGTTTGAGTTATATATAAATAAATATAAATAAATCATGATGAAGACATATATATAGAGAGATTTGAATAGGACTTTTGTTTCACTGCCACTTTATAAAGATGGTTGACAAAGCACCAACCAATGAGAAGAGCAAAAAGTGGCTTCTAGTATGGAAACATTAATTTCCTATCCCATACCAAGTCTCATCTACCATGCCTGACCCACATTTTTCTTATTAAATTCTCATTAATCTGCCCAATATATTCTAATTTTTCACTTTTGCCTCTATAAAAATAATAAAAATGAAAAAAAATTGCCAATAACATATAGTTGTACTGTTATGTACAATGATAAGAAAAAAAAGGTGAAGTTAAATGACAAAAGGATGAGATATGGGGATTTTTAGATAAAGGGAAAAAACAATTCATTAAGACCCTAATATCATGCATATATTTTAGTAATTAGACAAAACTATGCACTTAGGAAAATAAAATTCCCTTGAAATTAAAAGGAAAATGATTTAATTTAAATTTAATTGTAGTCTATGGTTTATATGAACACTTTCCATTCCAATGGGAAAAAAGGTATAAAAAAAAAAGGGAAGAGAGTGGAGGGACGCGCTTGAAGGGAGCGTGGTGAGGAGGAGGAGTCAGCGAAGACTACCAGTAATGGGTTGTAGTCACGGGATGCGTTTTAGGGGAAGATGAAGGAGAATGAAGAAGGTGAAGGGGAAGCAATGGTTAAAAAAATAAAAAAATAAAAAAATTTATTTGAAATTGTAATGTTTAGTTTATTTTAAATTAAATTTTTATTCAATTTTGATTAAATTTAAATATTAAATATATATTAAATTTGAATTAAATTTTAAATTAAAATGTAAAAAATAAAAAATTATATTACATTATATTATATATTTTTATTAATATAAATTTTAAATTTTTATAAAATAAAATAATTATTTTATATTTAAATTTATTTAAATATATTAAAATAATATATAAAATTTAAAATTTAAAATTTAAAAATCAATAAATTAAGTTAAACTAATAAAATTTGATTCAAATGATTGAATCATATAAAAATTTAATTTTAAATTTAAATCAAAATTTAAAATTTATTTATTATTTAAAAAATTAAATCGAATTTGATTCCAACCATTTTCACTTTCACTTCCAAAGGGAAGAAGAAAAAAATAGCGGTCAAACATTCCAACTCTAAAAACTATTGGCACCGGCATTTGACCGTACCCGACAGCCCGACACCCCCGACAGGCACGTGGGAGAAAGCCTTTGCTGCTTCCGCCTTCGCTTTCTGCTTTAGCCCCTTTTCTCTAGTCTCCCACGTTTTCAGCTCCCTGCCATGTATCCTTCTAACAATCCTTGTAAAACAAACATACAGGGTTCATGCCGACTACCTTTAATGAATTGACATGTTATTAAAATTATTATTTAAAAATTATAAATTTTAAAAAGTTTTAGGTATGTAATATTGTTTTCAGATAAAAAATATCTGATGAAAATTGAATATCTGAGTTTTGATACCAAGATGAAGCCAGTTATTCACGAGAATTCGTCTTTGATCCATGCCAAGATGGTAGGTAATGCTGCAGTCAATAGTAGGGTTGGTCAAGATGATGAATAAAAAGCTTTTTAAGTAAAGAATTGTCATCCCTAGTAATCATAGTCAACTATTTTTTAGGTGAAACAAAGGGAAGTGGAAACAAGTCTGGCACTTTTTGGCCCCAGCCCTAGAATGGTTTATGATGTGCAAACTTGATACTTTTAGAATGAATAAAAACTTCTTTTAACCTAGATTTTTTATGAATTGATGCTTCTGTCCACCTTTAATAATGGGAGCCAGTGAAAAAGAGTGACGGTTATGAATATACTTTTGTCAAATTTTTGAAGAAAAAGGGATATATCTAGATGACCCATTTTGAATATAGGATGGAATTCAAGTTTCCCCTTATCAAAATAACAAAATTTAACTTGCATATCATACATCATTTGCTTGAATTCATAGCTTTTCATGCCAGCTAAAGACAAAGAATGATAATTGTAAATATACTTTCGTTAAACTTTCGAAGTAATTTTTTTTTATATAATAGAATTCATGCTATACATTTATGACTTCTGGTAATTAATAAAAGGTTTAAGGATAACTATTTAAAAAAAAAAGGTCAGTTGAGTCTGCACACTTATAACACTCGAGCCAGTACCGAAATCATGGAAAATGAATATGCCAATCGAATGAACAGAGTAGAAAAGGCTCAATGAGAGATCAGTGAAACAGTTACAGGAATGCAACAAAACATGAACAGACAGTTGACAGAATTAAAATAGATGTTAACGGAGTTGACAAAAGGAAAAGGAGTTATTGAAACACATGGGGCAAGGGAGGAAACAATTGTTGAAACATCACTGTATCCGTCTGGGTCCACATATGTTCAAGACCCTCATATGCCACAAGTACCTCTAACTACTCATCAACCTTTAATTGACATTTCTGCCAAGATGCCATGAATTCAGATAAATATCGATCTCAAGTGCACTCTTAACGACTCCACTGTTATGCCTAATGGGGATGATCCTAAAGAATAAAAAAAAATTAAATAGGGTGCCAGATCCATCAAGAGATACAATGATGAAAGATAAATTTGATCTGTTGAAAGAGAGATTGAAGGTAATAGAATACCATGATATGTATGAGAATGTTGACGCCAATGAACTTAGTCTAGTGCCTAATCTCATTATTTCATCAAGATTCAAAGCCTTAGATTTCAAAAAGTATAACGGAACTGAATGTCTTAAAATACATTTGGCTCAATACTATCACAAAATGGTTGGGTATTTGGTGATGAAAAGTTGCCTACAAAGAATATGCTGTTAGATGAAAGAATATGGTATCATAGGTACAACCACCTCTTACTAATAGGAAGTTAAATTCTCTGTTTGTGGATACTTCTCCTTCTACTTATTATGATAAGTTGATCAACAATACTTCATCAGAGTTTACGAATTTATTATTTATTGTGGGTAGAATTGAGGATGAGATAAGAAAAAAAAGAATTATAGATACTGGTGATAAAAAAGAAGAGATATTTTTACAAAATAAGCCCAAGAAACAATTGTTAAAGGGTAAAATGAGAGAAATCTCACCATGATGCAAGAAGATCCAACAGATGATTATTCATAATGGCTACCATATTATCCCCAACCAATATTTTTGATCGATGATTTTTTTGACCACTTCATCTGTGTGCTCAAATTTTTTCACCACAAACAGAACCAAGGATCAACTTAAGCCATTCACAGAGTCGTAAGAGAAAGAGAGCCAAAATGTATCATTCACTTTCAATACCTTACGTTAAGCTTTTTACTTTACTAATAGAGAATCATATGATCTTTGTTGTTCCTGCAAGACCCAAAAAGCTTTCGTACCTGAAATGATATGATCTTAATGCTAAATGTGAATTTCATGATAGAGTTAAGGGGTATTCCATAGAAGATTATACTGCCTTCAAGGATAAAGTTCAAGCTTTGATCGACGTAGATGTTGCAAAGTTTAAAGAGCTAGTTGGTAGTCTTGATGATTGATAGTAATAGAGTTGCAATTTAGTGATGCTAAAGTTGAAACATCAAAGGAGAAATTTTTGTTTGTGTAACTTTGAATATCATCTTAAGAATACGATCAAGATGATAAATTCTTTTTGGTCAAGTCTTAAGGTTTGCATTGCATGAGTAAACATTGTGCATCATAGTGTTTTATTTCGTGTAAGTTTTGATATATAGTTGGTTTTTTTTTTTTTAAAAAAAAGAAGAAAGATGTTCGATATGAATAAAGTCCCATGTGGCTAAGTATCGAGGCTAGAGAAATGTCTTAAAAAAATACAACAAAAAAAGTAGCAAAAAAAAAGTTTTAAGTCTAAGATGAATTGGCGATCACTATTATAAAATTTTCAAATACCTAAATGCCAATTTGCTCATTCAATTGACCCCATTTCATCAGTCATGAATCCTTAATAGCCTTGAATTCAAATTTGTGAACCTTATTTTCACCTGATATTGTTGGCAATATTTTTTTCTAAGGCAATGAACAAATGAAACAGCCATTAAAAAATGTGTGGTTCATAGAAAATCAAGTTTATATGACTTTCTTTTTTTTAGAATTCAAATGTGATAATTTGATATGACAAGATTATACTATAGTTTCAAAATTTTTAAATCCAAGTTTTGTAAAATGCACTTAAGCATACTACCCTTTCAGCTTTTTATCCCAAAATTACCCGATCTTTTGTCTTGAGGTATATTTGTCAGAAAAGAAATACCTCATTACCTCTAAGATAACTTGAGTTATGATTAACCTTTTTTTTCTCTTTTTGTGGAGTAACTTAGATCATTTGATACCTTAAACATATTTACCCCACATAATCTTTTTCTTATCCATTTCATATAACCCTTCTCTTGTAATTACTTTTCATTATGGGTGGTTTGCTAAAATGGGACATCTTTCATGAAACATGTTACTGATAAAATGAATCTATGTGTAAGCTATGAGGGCATAAAAAAAAAGAAAAAAAAGCCAAAAAAATTGGTTATGACATCATGCACTTAAAAAAACTTTTGAGCAAATCCAAAAAAGGTCATGACAAAGTCAAACTTTTGAAAAAAAAAAGATAAAAAAAACCAAAAAAAGAAAAAAAAAACCAAAAAATTTTTTTGAGAGAAAAAATCTTTTTTCAAGTCCATTTTCCTAAAGAGTAGTATTTAATTTAAGTGTTTATGCTTGAAATGACAAATGACTATCTTTCATTATCCTTTCACAAAAATAAAAATTTATCTCTTGTTACCTCTTTAAGCCTGATTGAATTCTTTCAAAATAAACCCTGACTAAGGATCACCTTCTACATTATGGGGAAAAAAAAAACGTTTGAAGGATAAGAATGAGAATGTCTAATGGAATCTCATGTGATAGGGGTAAAAATCCGATATAAAAGTTCATAAAAGTTT